TTACCTTTTTTTATAGTTATAAATTATCTATTGAAGTTTCAAACATTTTTAATAAAAAATTTTTAATTTTAAATTTAAATATTAATTTTATATTTATTTTATAATTAAAATTCATAATATGAAACTTTGCAACAGACGATGATTTCATAAAGTACATGGCTGACGAAATATTGCGAAATACTTCATCATAATAAAAAATTCTGCTTTTGTGATTAAATTTAAATTAAATGATAATAAAATTATAATACTTCTCATTATCCTTCTTCATTATATACTTCATATATATTTTCTATATACTTCATTATATATTTTCATTATATATCTAATATTTAATTTATTTTATTGCTTACAGCAATTATAAAATATTTTTATTATTATTCTTTTTATTATTGATTATTATTTAAAATATAATGTTTTTATAAACGATAGTCTCATTTTATATTATTTTTTATTATTTTATATTATTTTTTTAAGTGTATAATTATGAAAATTATGTAAATTAAGTTTTTACTTATAATTGATAACTGATAATATAGTCCAGTAATGATTAAATATTTGATAAAAGATATAAAATGCAATATAATTTATAAAATTATAATTAAATTATTAGTATTTCAAATAGTTTTTTTTATTAATCATTAATATATTGAATTATTCAATGATTTATGCTCTATTGTTCTATTAAATAATGATGAATGCTCTATTAAATAAAAGCAGAAAAGAGAAGTAATTGAAAATTCCGTCTGCGATATCTTTTATTTCATCACTTTTATTTTTAATTAACATTTTCACTATTTGAGATATTGAGCTATATTGATGGAATATAATATGGATTACATTTAAAAAATTTAAGTTTTATATTCACGAAACATTATTCGATCTCTTAATCTTTCTTTGGTTAGTAGAACTATGATTATCAATAAATCAGTTTTGCAAAATTAAAACAGCGCATGTGTAAAAAAAGCTAACTTCAATAGCGCATGCGTATGAAATCAAGTTAAAAAGAATAGGGAATACAATATAGCGGGGAAAGGCGATAGAAACAGCTGCAAACTATCAAGGTCATTTTAAATGACAATCGCTACGTCACATCTTTGGTCGAGCCCTCTTTGTCGACGAATCAGAAACTTG